AGCCACGTAGGCAGTATGTAATAGCAGTGCAGTTTAGGCAGTAGTAGCTCAATGAAACGGTAATTTGCTTAGGGGATAGAAATGACGTTGTATAATTTGACGTCAGTGCACCACAGCTTGGTCGGCGTTATAGCAGTATGCAGCAAGCTCCAGTAGCAGCAGCTGCCGATCAGGCAGCAGCAGGCAGCAGCACCGCAGTAAATATTGATGCTGTTATGCTGCTGCTGCGATGGCTATCGATTTGTTTAGTGATCGCCTAATCCTTCGGTGATAAACTCCGCTGGTTATTTATGAGCTTTATCTGGAATTAATGTAGGCTAATTTCTAAACTGCCGCGTACGACAGGTGTAGTTGTTTTTTTACGTAATTGATAATTGTATGTGACAACGAAGAGGGAGGAATGCTTGTGCTAGAGAAGTTGATGTTTGTTGAGATCTGCAGGAGCTCCCGCAATCTGCAATTTATTAAGTCCTTCTGTTTGTGTCGCTTAAAGTGACCGATTATCGCAGTACCTAGACAGACAGACATCGACGTAGCCAGGACAGCACCTCAACAGGAGTGACGGAGTGTTTATCGCGTACTGAACGCGATGACGGATACTCGGGCCCTTCAATTTTACGCTTAACTGCACATGAATACGAACCAGGGACGTTCATAACGGAACTAATTTTATGGCCGTCTCACGCGTCCTATTGTAACGTGAGTTAACGGTACAGTGTGTTTTACAGGGGACATCGAGTCCCAGACCAGTTATATTGCAAGTGCAAAAACTTTCTGGCTGTGTACGTTTTGTGGTATACGATCGGAGTGATTCGTTAGAGGAGGGTTGTTACCTTTCGGTCATATTCGAGAATGATATTCAGACATATAATAGAAAGAACACCGTACCTAGCACTGAGAGAGGCAGGATACTAAAAGATAATCACTTCCAGATCACGCAACTGCAGACGACACGTCGTCTGGGTGGTTATACAGTCCACTCGCGGCTTATATACTCATCATTGTCTATTCGAACATGCGATATCGTAACACATGAGAGGACGTTCAGCTCATCCGCCACATGAATTAAATTGATTTTCTCATGTATCACATAATACCCGTAATAGTTCCTATATAGATGATCATGAGCCGCACGTAAAGATGTATTCCATTAACTCGGCTTTTAGGAAAGCAGGAATGAGAGTGTTAAATCCAGTTTCTTCGGCCCGCAAAGCTCTCTGTCATATCGTCTCAGTCATGAAGATAAAAGGATGTACAGAGGGAGCAGAGACCCGGATTGAAAGCCGAGGCTGCGGTATTGTGCAGAACGCGTGCGATAGCTAGATAAACTACTGAACAGCTAATGATAGCGGAATCGTTATTAGGGATCAGCGCACATCCGTCCGTAAACGTAAGACGCGATTGAGAGCTTGATTGTGGAGACAAATGTAGTGAAGAATAGAGCAGGAGTAGCTTTTGCCCGGCAGATGTAGAATATTATGCACGGCATCCGGGAGACGAATGGACCGCATGTGGGAGCAGGCCTGCTGACAGATGTGAGGCTGAATTCTGTTGTCCGTTTTCTGTGTGAGAGAATATATGATTAATGATGTACTGCTGTAGAACTGATTTTCGATGGGTTCTTTTGTTGTAAGATATTTTTGCATGAAAGTCCGGAGCACAATGAGGAATTACGAGTGATAAGTATGCACGGGACCTACGAAAGATGTGATGCCTGTGATTAACGTAATTAACGTTTGATTTTTTGTATAGATTTTTCCGTTATAAAGAGGTAGCCACGGAAATGTAAATGCTCGACTGCGAGCGTACAGCAATGTGAGACTCGTTCTCTCCGCGTACACAATAAAGAATAGAAGAAGACAAATGAGACGGTGAGGCACATTTGGTTATGAAATTTGTTAACGCAATACAACGTGCATTTCTAATTCAAGGTTCTAGTTACGTGTTTTTGAATTGTCTTTGACCCTTTGCTGAGATCACGGCTCCCAACGCTATAACCGTGTCCTTACTTTTTGCTACTACCTTTGCGCTCCTACTTCTCGGACATGTGCTTTAGGAGCATATACTGCTCAACAACTTTATCACTCGCTGTAGGCTGAGGCTACTCAGTCGCAGATTTTCATATGTTCACTTTCCGTCACCTTCTTCGTATTGCTCCTGTACTCCTTACGATTGAATAATCTTTCTCTACTCACTCTGAGGCGTCTCGCTATTTCTTCGGTCTAAGATGACTTCTAAATTATCAGATCAGCCGAGAGCTGAGAGCTTCTACGACAGTGAGATGGCCCCCGGGTCTAAATCATGATAGTTGTGCGACTCACACTCCCGAATGAGCACCGTATCTCGCGACTCGGTGAGCCGCGGACTATGTCAGTCGCATTGGACGCATGGTAAGGTCCGCAAGTTGAGTATCTCCGGATTACAATGCTGAGATTAGGTACCGTGACTCAAGCCTTACCCGTTATATAAGCGTACTCTTACGCTGTGATCAGCGGCTCTTCCCGTAGCACTAGTGACGTATGTAAGCCGCGTGTACGACTCTCGATACACCCACCGAAACCCTTAGTCTAGCAACCCTCCCCCACGCGCACGCCACGCATCGCACGCCACACGCACAGCACCGCACGCATGACACGCAGGCACGTCACGCACGTCCCTTCACCTGGCTCTTGCCCTCTCCGATGTCCACTCAGCCGACGCGCAATCCGCTTATCTCTACGCACTCTCATCGCCACGTTCTTTCATGTTTCAACGCCACATCGCACAGCACGCACGGTCACACGCATGATCTATACGCACGCGCACCTACTGCTAGCGGCAGAGCACTCACCACTCTGGACAAAATACACACACACACATCACCGACACACCCTACGTTGACGACTACTCAGCACACACACACATACCCAGTTACGTCCTTGTTTTCTTGACGACCAGATGTGACTGAGACAGCTTTCTATACGGTTTGTGGGAATGAGGGGAGATACTTTGCGTTCTAAGTAGTCTTAACTGTTCCGTTGACCTTATCTTAACTCCGGCCACTTTTGTTCTTCCCTAATTCTTTATATCGATTGAGTGTCACATTAATCATATCCTCGCTCTTGTTTTGAGCAGCTCTAACTGCCAATCATCCAATGCACAAATAAGCATTCCGACGTTAGTAGTACATAAGCTACTAAGGTAATCCAGGTGACTAGTAACGATTATCTGTTTCTAATGATAAACATCTAGAACGGAGTGTAAACCACATGCTCCTGCTCCCCTAGCGCTTATCCCTCGTTCCGTCTCCACTCCGTCCATACTATTTCCTTAATCCATCATGATCATCGTTACTTAGTATCCGTGGCAGAGTGGATAGGTAGACTCGATATTCTCCGTTGAATTTGTTTGAGCATCCAGTCCTTGCTGTGGCTCGCGTCTTTCTCTCTAACGATCGGTTTTGACCGCAATTGCGAGATTTTGCAATTAATTAGCACTAAACTTGGTAATAACCGTTACAGCGGCACAGCTGCCCGCACTTTGTGTTTTTTGAGCTATTCTCTCTGCAGGATCTTTCCCTATGTATATCCACACTCGCGCCGACATACAGCCCCCCGATCTTTCTGTCTGCATAACCCGCGGCCTTTATGCGCTTTGACTACCTCGCGGACTATGTGCTGCTATATTGATAGCTTTTGGCGATCAGCCTCGGCTCATACTATTGGATTTTTCACTACGTGGCACCCTATAACTAGTCTATGAGCACGCTTGGGCTTATCACGTATTACTCTACTACTATTGTCATAGTTCGAGGTATCTGACGGTATTCTCGTAATTGATTTATGAACGTTACATAATCTAACTATATCACCCTCCTCACTAGGTGCGGCTGTATCTGCACCCAAGTCAGATCCACGATTGCTTCTTTTTTATACAAGTATCTTATTGCGGTTCTGCAACTGCACGTCGATCTATCTCACGAACTGATCCATGTAGTCCTGTCAAGTCGTCGGACCATTTATATGCTTAAATTGCTTTCCCTACAGTACTCGTTTACTACCCATAGCTTCCTAGTCTATATGCGACGTCTAACCGTAACGTAATTCCCTAATGGTGGCAATCAATCGTTGCTTGTTGTTGTTTTTGTCGTCGTCGCCTGTCGTTCTTGAGGTACGTCCTGGCAGCCGACGTCGAGGCATTATATCGAGGAATTATGATCGGGAAAATGAGCGGGAATTCGATGATGATTTAGGTTTGCGTGATTAGAATCACTACTAGCAATTCATCGCACTGAGCTCATGCCTGCACGCGATGATAAAGAATCGATTATTTATTTATTTCATTCATTTATGTATTCAATCGTTTATACTTTATTCATTCATTCATTTATTATCATTCATTTTCTTCATTCTTCATTTATTTCATTCCTAATATTCATTCCATTCATTCGATTCATTTCATTCCATCTCATTCATTCACTCAAATTATTCATTCATTCATCATTCATTGCATTCAATTCATTCATTCATTCATTCATTCATTCATTCATTCATTCATTCATTTGTTTCATTCATTCATTCATTTATTCATTCATTTATTCATTTATTCATTTATTCATTTATTCATTCATTCACTCAATTATTCATTCATTCATTCATTCATTCGTTTCATTCAGTCATTCATTCATGCATTCATTCATTCATTCTTTTATTCATTTATTTATTCATTCATTCATTCATTTATTCATTCATGCATGCATGCAAGCATTCATTCATTCGTTCATTCAATCAATCATTCATTCATTCATTCATTCATTCATTCATTCATTCATTCATTTATTCGTTTATTCATTCATTTATTCATTCATTCATTCATTTATTCATTCATTCATTCATTCATTCATTCATTCATTCATTCATTCATTCATTCATTCATTCATTCATTCATTCACTCACTCAATCATTCATTCATTCATTCATTTATAATACAGGTATATCATAATATACGTATCAACATGCTCAATCGATACAATGATTCACTCGTACTAATTTTCCTGGTGCGCGTGTGTGTGCTGCTTCATAATTATTTCATCTTATTCACATGTAATAAACTCATGTTTATTATGCCCAGCCGAACGCTCGAGCGTGTTACTGTAACTATGGCATTGATCGATCGGTGATATCTCTGATATAGAGGAGATGTTAGATGTTAAGGATACGCGTCGTGCAGAGCCGGTCAATTCTAAAGTTAGCAACCACAGTTTAGTTGTGGGGTTAGACAGGAGAGACGTCCGAGATATCAGGGAGTTTAGATGAGAGAATGAGAATCCGTGTGCTGGTGTTCTGTTCACGACCCTAACCCTAACCCTAACCCTAACCCTACCCCTCAGTAACACTGTGGGCTGCCTGTCTTTGATATTTGTGCTTGTCTTTGATATACGAGCTTGCTTATCATATCTTATAAGTGCATATGTCTGCAACGTACACCGTAGTAACCTAACTGCGTTGCCTCCTCTTCCGATTCTACCACCAGGTTTCCTATCATCTGCACACAAACATGACCTCATCCACAGCGTAGCGTAGTAACTAACACTAAGCAAGCAGCACTAACGCTGGCACGTACGCTCATTAATACGCAAATCACATTCACCCCCGTAACCTAATCACCATTTCTTTAACTCTCAAGTGAAAGCCTTCAAGGACTGCAATCAAGACGGCACCTGGTGGCGACATCCAGAAACAAACAAATCATGGTCGAACTATACGACATGCATCGATTTGGAAAACTTGAACGTGAGTCGTGCGCGAGATATTTTTTTCCAAGTTGCATTGCGAAATCAGCGTGAACGCCGCGCGTTGAAAAATGATGCTAGGCGTGAGTAATAGAGAATGCATGAAAGCCTGGTTTAGTGATAAAGGAGGCGAGAAAAGCCAGGTGTAACGGACGTGAGTGATAGAGAACCCCCAGACGTAACAGGCAGGAATTTATGCATTGAAGATCCATCCGTTATGCTTATGACTGATGCATAGAAGATGTATTAGGGGATGTGTATAATATTATATTCGTAGTTAAAGGGATACTACACCCTAGAATTGTATAGTATATTATGATAGTACGTGCATAAATAATAGTATACACCTACAAATTTCTAGAATCACGCATTCACATTTGTCATAAAACAACAGTGAGTTTCGATATCATTATTTTTGGCCGCTGACATGACACTCCGCGATTGTGCTGCCACCCTGACAAAGTTGCAATTCTGGCGATTTATTTTGCACGTTACAAGCCGAGGGCTAATCACAAAAGTGCAATTATATTTATGCCTAACTGCTATTTATAACCGAACGATTTTTATTTTACGACAAATTCGTCCATATTATAACTGAAAATAAGAGTTGTTTATAAGATGTTTAAGCAATCCTTCCCCTCTTAAAGTAAATAAAAACAACACCTTTGGTCTGTAGCCTGCAGCCGAAATGTTGCGCTGGGCAACTTTGACAGTGGATGCGCTAGTAGTGGCGCCACCGTCGTTGTAAGCAAGGATATAACCGTCAGTTTTGAATACTTAAAAAAAAAAATTCGAATAAATATTGAAAAATTTAATTTTTTATGTAGGACAATTTAACACATCTTAACTGAAAATATGCAAGGAACCTAGGGTCATGTGTCTCTGTAATAGCAACAGCGAAGGTTAACAACCCCAGGTATATATTCGTTAATAACATAGCAAGTTGACAACTCCAGGGAATTATTCGTGAGTAATAGAGTAGGTAAACAACCACAGGTAATAGATTCGTGATATAATGGAAAAGGTAAACAGATTCTAGGTGTATATTCGTCGGTAATACAGAAAATAAACAAACCTAGGTGTATAATTTTGTCGGTAATACAGAAAATAAACATGGTAGGCCAGACCCAGGTACATATTCTTCTTGATGTAATATAGAAGGTGTGCGTTAATCTCACGTTTGCTCATTATTTCCTCAGGAGAATCGGGTGAACGTGCAGCTGTACATCGCCGGCTACTCGTGCTCTCTCGCCGCCATATCCATCGCTCTCTTCATCTTCTTCTACTTCAGGTGTGCGACGCATGCGCTGTGGCGCTGACACAATGCGCGCGCGGAGACAGAAAACAGTTGTTACTTCTCTATATGCGCTTGTGGCAGTAAACAGTTTATTTGTTTGTTTGTTTGTTTGTTGTAATCGATTTATTTACTTGTACGTTACTTTGCGTGCGCGCGTGCACTCGCGGGTACACATCTGCGCCCACGCGTGCATGATCACACGCGTGCACAGATACACGGACGCAACCTAGCTGCGAATCCACGCGCGACTCGTGACAATTTACGATGTGTTAATACGTGGATGCATGCGCGCGTATAACCTATATGATAATATTTATGATGATAATGCATTGCACATATGTATAGGCAGAGCAGGCGCTGATCCCCCTTTTCATCCAGTGATGACATTTACAATGATATCCACAGTAAATAATATTTATAACGTACACGTACCTACACATACGTCATGCCGCTACTGTCAGTCGGTTCTCTTCCCTTCTTTCGAGGCAGTTGTAGGTGATGATGATACCAGGAGTGTATAATATAGATATAATATATAAATAGTACATAAATATTTTATATATATATAATTAATATATAATATAAATAAATATATATATATATAATCTATATTATATACTCATGATGATACTTCATTATACTGTGTGACACCGATGATGTTTAAACATGGCGGCCACTGATCTCTTCTCTCTACCACACGCAGGCAGCTGCAGTGCACCCGCATCACGATCCACAAGAACCTGTTCGCGTCCTTCATCCTCACCAACACGGCGTGGATCGTCTGGTACACGGAGGTGAACACCGTCATCTCTGTTCTCACCACCAACCCGGTACGTGCCTTCTCACTACACACACACACACACACACACACACACACACACACACACACACACACACACGCGCACCCGCGCGCGCCAAAACACACACACACACACACACACACACACACACACACACACAGTTCATCTTGATATGACAGATGTGAGCAGGGGTTGGAAAGGAATATTTGTATAGCTTGTAATATACGTATTATCGTTATTATTGTGCATGAAGCACAAGAAAAAAATACCTACGTTTAGTAATAACTACTAAGGTTAAGTACTAGTAACGATTACTGTTTCTAATATACACTAGAGAGTAGTTGTCAACATTTTTACATCAACTATATAGTACGGTGGTTGATGTATTAAGTTCCGTTTCCGTTTAAGTTGCGGGTCCGTTTTCAGATGGACACTGACCGCGGTAATAGCCGTACAGGCACTGCCGTTGACTATTCTCTGAGGATGTTATCAACATGGCGAATAAGCGATTTTTTCTAACCCGCCCTTTATGTACACCGCGTATATATTCGTTTTCATCTGCCCTACTGTCTATGAACGCTGGCTCAACTCTACACATTGTGCGCGAGGGTATCGATGATTGACGTTCATACATACATACACCCCTCAGGGCGGCTGTACTGCAATGCGACGTTCGATAACTGGGGCTGCTGGAACTACACGCTGTCAGGCACGCGGGCTTTTATTAAATGCCCCGTACTCGACTACCCAAGCTTTCCAGTCTTCGACGTCAACCGTAAGTATTTCTTGATGGTCGGCAATCAATCGTGCTGTTGTTGTTGTCGTCGCTGTCGTTCTTGAGGCGTCGGCAGGCCGACGTCGAGGCATTTATCGAGGAATTATTGATCGGAAAATGAGGGGAATTCGATGATGATTTAGTTGCGTGATTAGAATCACTAAGCAATCATCGCACAGCTTATGCCTGCACGCGATGGATAAAATCATTCATTTATTTATTCATTCATTTATGTATTCAATCGTTTATTTATTTATTCATTCATTCATTCATTCATTCATTCATTCATTCATTCATTTATTCATTCATAATATTCATTCATTCATTCATTCATTCATTCATTCATTCATTCATTCATTCATTCACTCAATTATTCATTCATTCATTCATTCATTCATTCAT